AGGTGCTTCTTTTTTAAAGATTTTTTTGGAATGTTTTTATTTATTTTTAAGGAGAGAGAGAGACAGAGCGTGAGTGGGAGAGGAACAGAGAGAGAGAGGGAGACACAGAATTCGAAGCAGGCTCCAGGCTCTAGCTGTCAGCACAGAGCCCGATGTGGGGCTCAAACCCACAAAGTGTGAGATAATGACCTGAGCCGAAGTCAGACGCTTAACTGACTGAACCACCCAGGTGCCCCTCTAGGTGCTTTTTGAATGCAAAAGAAGTAAGTGGCTGGGGCTCTCTGTTTAAGTAGATGAATTGGGGTGATACTTTCAATATGTAGAAACAAAAGCAACAGATCACCAAGTAAGGGATAATGTACTGGCTAAGTAAAAGTCTTAAAAGAAAGAGGGTTAAGAAGTGGTAATGGGAGTAGCCTACATATATAAAGAACACCTACAAATATATAAGAAAATACAGTAGAAAAAAATAAAAGATACCTGGATAGTTGTTATAAAGAAAAAGGAACACATGTAACTAATACACTTATGAAGAGATATTGAACCTCATTAGTAACTGAGAAATGAATGTCCAAGGCCATGGTGAGGCCCCATTTTATACCTACTCACTTATCAAAAAGGAGGCATGTGACAAATGCCAAATGTTAGAAAATGGAAGGGAGTATCAATTGCTACAACACCTTTGAAACATATTTACCATCTTGCAATGTTGATCATTAGAATACCTTAAGACCCAGGGGCGCCTGGGTGGCTCAGTCGGTTAAGTGTCCGACTTCAGCTCAGGTGATGATCTTGTGGTTTTTGAGTTCGAGCTCTGCATCAGGCTCTGTGCTGACAGCTCAGTGTCTGGAGCCTGCTTTGGATTCTTTGTCTCCCTCTCTCTGCGCCTCCCCTGCTCACACTCTGTCTTTCTCTCTCTGTCTCAAAAATAAATAAATGTTAAAAAATATTTTTTAATTAAAAAAAGAATATCTTAAAACCCAATAATTCCATTTCTAAATAGATCTCCAAGAGGAATTTGATCACTTATGTACCAGAAGACAAGTGCAAGAATGATCATAGCTACAGTTCTTATAATAGCCCCAGACTGAAGGCAACCAAAATGGTCATCGACAGGCAAATGGATAGGTAAATTACAGTTCATTCACACAATGAAAAACTCTATAGCATTGAAAGTGAACCACTTTTTCTAAAGTTAAAAAAAAATGAACTTGCCGATAGTAATTTAACTTCTGGAAGAATACACTGAAGGGTGAGTTGAGAGGCAGCCCAAAGAAAGATGTAAGTCAGCGGTTCTCAAACTTTAGCATGCATTGGAACCACCTGAAAGGCTTGTTAAAACACAGATTGTTGCTGCTGTCCCAAGAATTTCTGATTCAGTAGGTCTGCAGTTGGTCCCAGAATTTCCATTTCTAGTAAGTTCCCAGGTGGTGCTGATGATGTTGGTCTGGGTGGGGGGAATCACAGTATGAGTTATTACTAATATTCTGCATTAGGGGTTGGCAAACTATCAAATATGGCCCACTGCCTTTTTCTCTACGGCCCACGAATTAAGAGTGGTTTTTACATTTTTAAATGAGTTTAAAAAAATCAAAAGAAGACTATTTTGTTGACACATGACAGTTATATGAAATTCCAATTCCAAGGTCTGTAAGTAAAGAGCCAAAGTTGGGTGTGTAACCAACTGAACCGCCAAGGTGCCCCTGCTTGTTTATTTTTAATGGAAATGGAACCATAGTTTGAGACTGTTCTTTGACTTTTTTTTTTTTTTTTTGGTTTCTTTTAAAAGGTTGTTACTGTATGTAGCAACATGGTCCAGGTAACTAACTATTCTTTTGTATCGTCATTTTTATTTTATTTTTTGAGAGAGAGAGTGTGTGTGTGTGTGTGTGTGTGTGTGTGCGTGCGCGTGCGCGCGCACATGCACCCGAGTAGGGGAGAGGGACCAAGGGAGAGGGAGAGAGAGAATCTTAAGCAGGCTCCATGCTCAGCACAGAGCCCAAGGTAGGGCTGGAACTCAGGAACTCTGAGATCCTGACCTGAGCCTAGAAGTCAGACACTTAACCTACTGAGCCACCCAGGTGCCCCTCTATTGTCATTTTAAACACAGAGAATGCTTATACATTGATTTGACAAAATAACTTATTTAATCCTCTGTGGTTGAACATTTGGACTAATTCTACACCTCCCCTCCCCCACCCATTTTGGGCCACTTTAGAAACACTAAAGAGGGGCACCTGGGTGGCTCAGTCGGTTGAGCATCTGACTTTGGCTCAGGTCATGATCTCACGGTCTGTGAGTTCGAGCCCCGGATCAGAGCCTGGAGCCTGCTTCGGATTCTGTGTCTTCCTCTCTCTCTGCCCCTCCCCCACTCATGCTCT